GACTTTATCCTCAGATTTTGGTATCTGTGTGTGGGGGATGCTAGTGGATAATGAAGGACAAATGTTTCATCAACCCAAGAACTATGTTTCAAAAACTCTGGTATGGATATCAGCATATAAAATCTGACTGGAAGCACATGAGAGGTATAGTAAGTTTTTTGTTGTTGTTGGGTTTTTTTGCAGAACTGGGGATCAAACTATCTCTGGCCCAGTGTAGTAAGTTTTTAGTACATACTAAGACAAAAACCACAAATCTTGGTTAAAAGAATCTGTAACTATCCCAAATTAAAAACAAAACAAAACAAAAAACTTTAGCCTCCAATCATCTAGGGAATAATTTTTTTTAAACTGTGCAACTCTCTCAAGTATGGCATATTCTTTAGCAGCCATTCAGAAATGACCAAAAAAATTAATTTAAAAAACCTCTTTCCAAGGAATGGAATCTGGGTCTCAGAGAACTATGGACATGGAAATAGAAACTGGAAATTTAATCATGAACGTTCCCCACATCCAAGGTAAGAAACCTATCCCTCTTTCCCTGTCTGAATGAGTGTGTTTACTGTGGTTATGGTTCCACCTGTTCCATTACTGTGCCCTATGTGGAAAAAAACACATTGTTTTGGTTCCTGGGTCTTCACATCAGAGACAACAAAAACCTGGTCTTAGATGATAAAACTGCCTGAGTGGGAGTTTGGGGCTGCATTCCCTTGAAGAGGGAGTCACTTTGTTCCATGTGCAGAAGAGTGAGCTGAGTGACCAGAAGGGTGGACTGTTCCAGACTTCTAGTAAGTTCACATTCTTCTCTTCTGAGCCCATAGGAAGCTTACTCTTTCTGTCCATCTTTTTTTTGTAGTTAGGCATGGTCAGATGACTACTTGTGGCTGTGGGTTGAATGACACACCCCAGATGAAGAACAAATGTAACTGTTGATGCAAGATGTTTTAGCACCTGTTCCCTGGCCACAGTGAGGGGTGTTGAAGTAGTCTGCACTTTAGAAATAAATAAATAAATAAATAGCCACAAGTCTGTACTTACAGAGTTGCCAGTTGGAAGTCACCTTTGCAGACTAACTAGACCAGTGATAATGAGCCTTTTAGAGCCTTCAGTGATACAAACAGCCCACTGCATCATGCATGCCATAAGTTTGCCACCGCTGACCTAGACTTTCAGTGAATATTAAGCAAGAAATAACTTTTATTGTCTATAGCCATTGGGATTTTGAGTTGTTACTACAGCGTAACCTACCCTATCCTAATAAATTCAGGAGTGCAAGCATTTTGGATATTTTTGCTTGAGTGCAACTTTAAAAATATATGAAAATGTCTTCAGGGGGTCTGTGAACCTTTGAAATTACACAGAAATATTTATGACATATTTTTCTAGGAGCATACAAATACCAGGATTCTGTATATTGTCAGCAGACAGTGCCTCAGAATTAAAACTCACTCTTTCTCTAGTACTTTGCTTTCTCTTTGGGACTATGCCCTTTTCCTGTGACATACTTCAACTCCTGAACCTAAATTTCAGTATAGCTCTGTAAGCAGTATCGCTTCATCTTTTTCTGTATTACCATTTGACCTATCTTTCCTTATTCCTCACTATTCAGACTATTTCCTCACTTCTTGAAAGATTTCTAACTCTTGTGTTCACTGCTGTATCCCTAGTGCCAACCATATCACAGGTATTTGATGAATACCTATTAAACAATTTAAAAGACTATATATGGAAAAGAGAAAAAAAAGATGGCATATAATTTTCATCATATTCACAAACAGCTTCATAAGTTAAACAGTTAAAACACAAAGCTAGATATTTCCTAATGAATTGTCTAAATAATTCAAATAAAAAAATATCTGAAAAGATATTCATCCTTGGTAGATACAAAGATCTTAAAGAGGTTCTGTCTTAGTCACTTTTCTCATGGCTGGAAAAAAAAAACTGACACCCACAACTAAAGGGAGATGTTTATTTTGGCTCATGACTCAGTCCATAGGCTGCTGGCTCCAAGGCAGGGCAGTATGGCACAGGGGAACAGTAAAGGAATATCTACTGACCTCATGTCAGACAGGAAGCAGAGGCTCAAGGGAGGAGCTGGGAAGGAAGCTATAATCTCTGGGTCAGGCCCACAGTGACCTGCCTCTTCTGACCTGGCCCCACTTCCTAACAGCAAGTCAGCTTAAAGCTCCTATAATCCAGTCATCTTCAGAAGGTCTGGCCTATGATCCTATGAGGCTTTAGGACATAAACCATAACAGACCTGTATAAGTTATTTTGCTCTAGGCTAGGAAGAGTAGCATGAACAGCATGCCTAAGGCTCTGGGTTAAATCCATATATAGCACTACCAAAAAAAAAAAAAAAAAAAAAAAAAAAAA